GTGTCCACACTCACAGACCAGCTTCCCCAAACACCCCCAACCTCACACACTGTGTGCAAGCTACTAGGGCTAGAGTGAGGCGCCCTCCAAGTCTTTCATTTTCTCACACTCAGACCCAAGCCTTGGAAGCTGCTCAGCTGAACCTGTTGAATCCAGAGTCAGATAAGAGTGCTGGGAAGTCCAGAACATTCACGCACATACACACATACACACACACATGCACACAATCATGAACGAAGGTCTAAAGCGGAAGGGACCTTGCCATTACATAGTAGTATAATGGTAAGGCTGACCCTGGAGCCCAAAGCCTAGTCACAGCTGGTTGTCACACATCCACAGGGGCAACTTTTTGGCTCCAAATGAAGGCTTCTCCCCAGAGGCTAGAATGACTTGGGTTTAATCCCTGGGCATAACACTCTACCAATGTACGTTTTAACAACTATGACCTCTTCGTACCTACCTTCCTTATCAAGAAAATGGGGATCAAAATGAGCTCAACTATATGATTCCAGTAGACGCTGCAGATAAAACCCCAGGACAGAGCACCTGAGGTCTCAAGGGATCCACTGCCTGGTTTGTAGGTGAAAGTCAGGGAATGAGGCGGCTTCCTACTGGAGAAGGCTCCAGCCCAAGGAGGCTCCCTGGAAGATCCAGAGCTTCCTATGAAAGTGGAGCTGAGGTTGCCACCTCAGCTAAGTTTCTGCTGTGGACAACCTGAGAGCAAGTCCTTTCCATTTCTGGCCATCAAGACAGCCAGGGAGGACCAATTTGGGAAGCAGCGAGACCCAGCTCACGCAGTACCCAATTCTTATCACTTGGAGGCAGCAGGGAGCTGAACTGGAGCTCAGCCTCCTTCGTCTGTGGAGGCTGCAGTCTGGCTGCTGGCCAGTCCCTCTCTCAGGGCTGATGGGATCTCCAACTCCCTTCTGCCTCCAGCCAGCTTTTCAGAGAACCAGAACTGCGAGACCATCGCATCCAGATGTTTGATGCTCTCCACGACCCCTAGAAGGAGCCAGTGTTCTCCCCGCTTTCCAGATGCAGAAACTGATGAGCCAGACCAGAGAAGGGAGGACTTGACAAAGACCTACAACCAAGTGTGCTGGAGCCAACTCCTCAACCCTCTTTCTTAGCTGCCATCCCTATAGGAGAGGCCACGTGAAGGAAGAGGTGCAGCCAGGCTGACCTGGCTGGAAGCCTCCATCTCACCTCCAGCCTTGTCGCTGGACCACACCTCTACTCTCTCTCATCCTTTGCTTATGTCAGTGCTGGAAATGACAAGGGCTGTGCGTGCGTGAGGCTCCTGCTCTGCTTCTGGGCACGCTCCACAAGAGTGAGGCATGTCTATCTTACGCACCTGGCACCTGCCATCGGGGTCTTCCTCCTTGCTTCCCCTCCACAGTCCTAGGCCAAGCCCTTCATCTCTCTCCTCCCCAGGAAGCCCTCCCTCGGCCCAACCCCACCCACCTAGGCTTTGAGAGAGAACGAAGGGAGCCCTTCTCCCCAGCACCCCACTGCTCTCTTCTCTGATGCCCACCCTTGTCTCCCAGCCCCTCTCCTCAGCCCTGCCTCTCCCTCATCCCACCCCCTCTCCTGCTGTCCTGCTGAGTCTCCACTTGCTGTGCACTGCAACTGTGTTTACAAGACAGCGGTGACAGTTTTTTATTTCTCTCTTTTGTCTCCCTTCCTCCCCTGAAGGGAAACGTGCTTCCAATCTCCCAGGAAGAAATGAAGGCTCTAGACGAGAGGACACAAACAAAGGACTGGGACCATGATGACACCCCACTCCCACACGAGTCCCAAATGCAAACAAGTGCATGACTGCACGCATGCGTGCACACACACACACACACACACACACACACACACTCCTCCCTCTGGCTGGAACCTCCAAGAGCAGCTGTGTTATTTCGGGGGTAATTGAAAATGTCGATCTTTATTCTAGCGTATAAACAGGGCAGAGGGACACAGGAATCAAGAAGGAGGGTATCTGTGGGGACCAGAGGAAGGGAGACCCAGTGGGAGAAAAGCTAGGCCAGATGGGAGGCTGCAGACACAGAGGGTGGAGGGGAACAGCAGGAAGTCCTCTCTCCAGCAGGGGCAGCTGGGACACGCACCTTCCCACCCGGAGGACTCAGAGAGATGGCTGCCTCTCTAGGTCCTGGAGGCTGGCAGAGGCCACCAAGTGACTCCTTTCCCCGGAGCACCTCAACTCCTTCAGAGCACTGCCTTCCCACCCCAGCCCCCACTTCTATGTGTGTGTGTGTGTGCACGTGCTCTGCCATCCTTTGTTTTCGGGGAGTTGGGGTGCAACTGTGAGCCAGCCCCAGGTGCGTGAGATAAGGAGGTGCCACCAGGAGTGGGTAGTGTCTACTGTGGAGTCTAGGGGACGTTCTTGCTTTCTCCCTGGGAGGACAATACAAGGTATGCGTTTGGGGGAAGCCGGCATAGGGTTTTTCATTTCTCTGAGGGATACCTTAGCTGTGTACCTATAACTGAGGGATATATGTTCACAAGTGATTCATTCTGACCCTCTTTCCTCATTCTCTCCATCCTTCAGAACCCAAAATTCATTCTAACAGTCCCTTCTAGTTCTCATGTCCAACCCTCCTCATGACTGGTGAGTCTAGGGGCCAGACCAATCTGTCTAGTGAAGAAAAAGTGAGACTCAGTCCCGGGATGAGCAAAACCTCGAATCCCACACCTACCCCTAATCCTGGTCACTTACAAAATGAATTTGGAGACAGGCAACTCATTATTTATGTAGTCAGAGTTGTTTCTATGCCCTGAGACTCTGTTTCATCTTTCCAGCAGTGGCCCTGCCTAGGCACTCCACCCAAAAAGGCCTGTGCAGAGACTGACGTGAGGCTCACCTGACCTGATGACACAGGGGAGATCAGCGGCTGCCACCCCATCCCCATCCAACACTTTCAGCCCAAGCATCACTAATTTTTGCAGCTGCTGTGATAAATGGCATTGTCGGCAAAATGACACCTTTCTAATCTGCTGCAAGACAGATGGGTCCCTGAGCAGGCTCGCTCTCGCACTCTCTCTCTCTCTCTCTCTCTCTCTCTCTCTCTCTCTCCGCTCTCTCGCTCTCTCGCTCTCTCGCTCTCTCGCTCTCTCTTGCTCTCTCTGGAGAACCTGCCCAGACCAGCCTTGCCAAGGTATGGGGAGGATGGGACAGATGTGGACTCAGGTCTGGGAGAAAGAGACTTCAAGGTTCTGAGCCGGGTGGATGCTACAAGCCTCTTTCCTAAACATTGCTGGGTCTCTTTTAATATTCCTACAATGATCTCAGCTCTTCGCCATCCTTGCCTAGCTCTATTCAATTCAGTTTTCACTTCAGCCAAAATCTCCATGTTAGCCCAGGTGTACTGGCACACACCTGAAATTCTAGCACCCAGAAACTAAAGCAGGAGTTTACAAGGTCAAGGCCAGCCTGGGCTGTACTGCAAGATCTGTCCTTTGCTTGAGTCAGGGTTTTATTGTTTAGCTCTGACTGTCCTAGAACTCACTTGGTAGACCAGGCTGGCTTCGAACTCACAGAGATTTGCCTGCCTGACTTGAGGCAGACACTTAATGTTGACCCTGGCCTTCAGATACACACATATGTGTACCCATACTCACATGTTTGCGCAAACATGTGAACACCTCACATACACAAAACAGTGTTTTTAAAAATTCTGAATACTTCTTGATCTTACAAGGATGAATCATTTGGGAAGCCTGGTGGTGCAGGACCAGAACCTGCAGGTACTCTGAAGACTGATGCAGGATGGTCCTGAGTTCAAGGCCTGCCTGGGCTGCAATGTAAGTTTAAAGCTAGTCTGTTTTAAAACAAAGGAGGGAGCTGGGCATGGTGGCACACACCTTTAATCTCAGTCCTGAGTAGTAGTGGCTGGCAGATATCTGAGTTCAAGGCCAGCCTGATCTACGTAGAAAGTTCTGGTACAGCCAGGATTACAAATAGATACCCTGTCTCAATAAAATAAAATAAGAGGGGACAAGGCATCAGACCCTGGTCCCCTTCTGGCTGAGCCAGTGGGTAAGAATCAAGAGCCAAGGAATGGCAAATTCTTGCTTGGAAGGCCAACCTAGAGCAGGTGGAGCCAGGCCTGGCCCTGAGGGCTGAGGCGGTGCTGCCCTCCCCTGGTCACACTGATGTCCTCTGCTAGGCTGAACTGCTGAGATTGGGGATATAGCAAATGACTCTCCAAAGATAGCATGTGAAACTCAGCCCTCCTCCCAGTAGCCTGCAGGCTGACCACAACCTCCAGCACTTCCCATGCTGGCCGGCTTTCTCTAACTGCCCGAGGTCCTCTGCAAGTACTATCTTCACTGGGTGTAAGTGTTGCCTACTAATCCCACACTTGGAAGGCTGAGGACGGTTTGGGCTACAAAACAAACATACAAAACCACTGTGTCCTATCTAGCTAAAGCCCTCAGGGCTCAGGCAGAGCTCCTCGCTGGAGTTCCATTCAGCTTGTACCCTTGGGACACCCTGCACACTGTCACAACTTCTGCCTGTCCCCAACAGTCTTTAAATATCTATTTAACTTCTTCTCCAGGAGCCTGTCTTTCCCCATCCCAAATCAAGATGACCCCACCCACTTCTGCCCACTTCCTGGCTTCTTTGCTCCTGTCTTGAGGACTGACCCCTGACAGGAACCAGAGATGTCGCCATATAACTTCATCCAGGGCTATCCTGGCACTACTTGGGAAGGAACTATGAGACCCAGAGAACCACAGGGAAAAGCCACATAGTTTGTCAGTGGCCACTCTAAGGTGGGCCTGCCCAGGTTCCCTGGAGGTCACATAGCTGTTTCCCCTAGGGACCAGCATTGAAATCCCATGTATATAGAATACATGAACCAAGGATCCCCAGTCCCTCACCCAGAGCAGGAGACCCAGAGGAAGCCGCTAAGAATGTTTGCAAAACAAAGAAATGAATAAGCAAAAATATTTATCTAATGCCTCTGTGTGCTGGCCACTCAGCGGACACCAGCTCTGCTACAGGAATCCATGATCATGTCGCTCAATATGGTATTGAAAAAATGGCATCTGTGAGGAGGAAGGGGCATGCACCAGCAGTGGCCTCAGTCGAGAATGTCCACAATCAGTGGGCACAAGTGGGGCGAGTGTTTGATGCCCATGGTGAAGGCGGGTATGCGGGGCTTGTGCACAGTGACCAGCTGGACGTTGTGGGAGCCAGGGCCAGGCCGAAGTGTGTGGTCCAGTGGATAGGCAAAGCGCTTGGCCACGCTATACACGGGGCTGCGGTTCTGGTAGACGGACGGCTCAGGTCGGGCATGCATAGCAGGTCCAGGGCCTCCTGCTATATCCTCTTTGTAGAACCAATTCTTGCTTGAGGAACCCAGACTATAGCAGGGGGCAGCTGGTAAGACAGGGGTGTTGGGCCCCAGCGAGCGTGGCAGCTGGTACTTGTTGGAGGCTGGGTTGGGATCCATCACTCTGTATGGACACCGGTAGCCAAACGTGTACTGGGGAGCCGTACGTTCGCCAGGGGGGCGAGTCTTCTCAAGGTTGTAGTGGCAAGGGGCTGGAGTGGTGCTTAGGCCTGGAAGGGAGGAAGATGGGGAGAACCTCACAGATCCTGATGCCAGATGCTGGGTCTTAGAGAAAGTTGAGTTCTTGCCCAGCCCTGGGGACATCAAAAACAAAACAAACAAACAAACAAACAAAAAACAGCGCAGTCATAGGGACATTAGGACTAAATGGTGCCATGGGCAGCAAAAGGGAACCAAGATAGTCACCATGATGGTGGCATTGTTGTCATCAAACAAAAGCCAACCTTGTCATGGTAGCAATGATTCATTGGCAGTCAACATGATGGCATTGCCCCATGCCCCATGATAGCACCAGGAAATTCTCTTTAGGTCACTAAATCTGTGAGCTCATTAACATGACAATATTGCTATTTTGACATGGGCCCTGTGACATCATAACACAATGCCTATCTTAACATTGACTTCTATGCATGAAATCCATACATAGTGAGGGGAGCATCATGATACTTGTGTCTTTTTTTTTTTTTTAATCGAATCCTGACTGGCCTGGAACAGCTTTCCAAGTGCTGAAATTACTACTGTGTCCCACCAGACTTAACTAAACACTGGTGATATGACAATGAGCAGATACCAGCATTCTCAGATACGGCCCCTGCTTTGCCCCTTCCCAGGTTCTAAGAACCGACGCCTCCCATACCACGTTCTCCCACCGGCCCACTTTCCCGTCCATCTTACGTAGGTTGGAGATGCGCTCCTCCATGGGGACCTGAGGGCAGGTAGATATTCCAAAGCGAGTTGCTTTAGGATCCAAGAAATAGCAAGGCCCGGGGCTGCATATGTCTACGATCCCTGCGGGGGACAAGGAGGGGCCTGCCTGGCACAACTGCCACCCCACCAAGGGCTCCCTTCAGGTTCCTCTGCCTCTTAGCTGTCTGTGTACTTTGATTTCCTCATCTGTAAAATGGGACCTTCTGTGCCTGACTGCCGGAGGCTGCTGACAGGACCAGATAAGAACAGGCAGACCACAGTGTGGTCAGTCTCCTACCACAGACACGTCCGGGTTGGTGCCAAGGGTAGTGACAACCACTGTAGCTACCGTGAGCATTGAGAAAGGGCTCAGTCCCAGCCAAGAAACCTCTCTGCCAAGGATGTGAATCGGGGAAGGGGAAGTAGGCACCCTAAACCTCAGACCCCAAAACACATGACCGTATCCCCACCCAACCTCTCATCTCACTGTGGGCCTTGGCTGTCAGCCACCGGTCATCATCTTTGACTACTGCAAGCATCCCCAGCAGAATATGGGACACACATAGCCAAAGATCCCCAGGGAAAGAGAGACTTGCTCTGCCAGTGACAGTTCTAGGCCCCCACAGCTCCCTGGGGAGATCTACCTTTTACCTTCATATGTGGGGATCCACTTAGGAACTATCACTGGTTTCCTTCTGAGTCCTTCTTCACCAGCCCCAGCCCCCAGTGGCCTGTGACTGCATGTTGGACAGCAGCCCTGGCCCTTGAGGGACAGACAGTTGGGACCGCTCACGTTTCTCAGTGTGCCGCCTGTGCAGGCTGTAAGCTGGCTCCTGAAACATGGAGGTGTCGTGGGCTATGTAGCCGGTACAGGATGGCCGGAGGTACTTGGCGGGCCCTGGACCTGTGAGGATAGACGAGACAACCTTTGGCCTCGGCCCCCAGTGCTGCGCAGCATGAGAACACAAGGGGCTTTGCTCTGGCTGATGGCACGCTGCCACAGAGCTGCGCATCGAGCTGGTTCCCCACAAGGAAGGTAGTATGCAGAGCTAAGATGCAATTTCCTGTGGTTCCGCAGCCTGTTACAGAAAGACAACAGTCACAGTTAATTGAGAACTTGGTATATACTAAGATTCATGCTAACCATTTGATCCTGTTATTTCAGTTGAACCTCTAGACAACCTTATTAAAACAGACACTCCTTTATTTCCCATCTTACAAATAACAATACTGATGTTAAAAAAAATAAAAATAAAAAAAGAGCTATCCAGCTACAGCAACTGGTGATGCGAGATCAACAGAACCCAAACATTAATCACTGCTCCGAAACACTTCCCAAGTAATCATCAGTCAGTAACGACCTAGTGAGAACTCATATGCCTGGTGTCCATTAAAAGAAATCACTAAAGTAGGGCTGGTGAAGTAGCTGAGTGGTGGAGTTCTCACCTGTACTGTATGGGCCCCTGGGTTATAACCCTAGCACCTTGCAAAGCTCTCTAATCCTTTCCCCAAACCATGCTGTGCACCCCCACACTCCAACGCTCTTCCCTGTCTCACAGAGCCAGAGAGTGGGCCTAGCCCGGAGGTGCAGGTTGCTGTAAGGTCTTGAGGAGTGTTTACTGGGGCTCCATGGGAGGCAGAGCTGGCAGTCTAGGCCCTTGGCAGCAGCCTAGCAGAGAGGCCTAGCCTAGGCCGTAGGGTAGGGCCGCTCTCACCTTTGATTGTGGCCATGACAACAGGGGTCTGCTTTATTTCCTTCCATGAGGGTACGTCTTCTCTCTTCTCCGGGTGCTGTGCGTAGAACACACAGTTCCTGGCCCCCTTGGGGAGTTTCATGGTGAAGGCTGGGAGGAAACATGAGCTATTACAAACAGTGCCTGGGAGCCAGGAGCCAGGAGCCCTACCCAGGCCCCTCCGTCACTACCCAACCCACTTAAGAGACTCCAAAACGGCTGGGGGTTGTGGGGAAAGAAGCTTGGGCTCAGCAGCTGAAGCCACAGAGGTGTGGGGCCCAGTGACTGGAGCCGAGGATGACATCACACGGCGACAGAACTTGTCCTGTGAGGCCGGAGTGTTTATTTCCCCCGTTGCCGTGGTGCCTGGACTGTGGCATAGCAGCTCTGTGCTGGGAGCCCAGCTACAGGAAAATTCAGTTCCGTTGCCCACTCTTACATCCAACCAGGTTGAACGCCTTCAGCGTTCCCCAATAACCCTGGTCTGAGAAGGGAGCAGGGAGTGACACAGCCCTTGAGCCAGCTACTCACTACCAGTGGGTCTCTTATCATTGGAGACAGGAAGAGAAAGGGTGTGTAGGTCCTTGGTGAAGGGTTCCTGCTCACCCCCACAGCCCTCTGGGGCCTTCTTCCCCCCCCCCCCGTCCCTTTCACCTCTCTCTCCCAGACTTTGAAACAAGTCCTCTCTTCTATCAGTCTTCCCACTGAGGTGTGACTGTCTCTCAGCCCCTTCCCAGACTTCTTTGCCAGAGCATGATATATTTAAACATCCACACCTAGCTAAAGGAATACTTACCTAATGGTGACATTTCAGACACAGAGTGAAGGGCAAACAGAGAGCGATAAAGGGCTCACACTGATGTCCCCAGCAGCAGCTTCCCGTGCCTATGGTGGGGAGCACCTCTGAGGGAGTGTGTGAGGAAATACGGAGGGCGGGAGTGGCTATGCAGGCTCTACATGATAGAGGGATGAACCCCAGGGCTAGGAAAACCCCAGAAACCTCTTCACCCCTAAGAGCTCAGGAGGAAGCAGGGCTCCATCTTCCGTCCACCAATGGGATTCAATGTGAGCCAGGTTAAGAAAGGTCTTCATAGGAACGAAAGGACAGAGAGTAGTGGCCTTTAAATGGGGTCTGTCACCACTCCAGTGTGGACACTGAGACCACAACAGGGATCAAATGCAGATGGGCTTTTCTTTGGGTCTCCAGCTCACAAAAAACAACACAGAGACTTATTGATTATAAAAGCTCGGTTGTAGCTTAGGCTTGTCCCACCAGCTCTTGTAACTTAAACTAACCCATTTCTGTTCATCTACGTGGTGCCACATGACTTGTGGCTTTTATCTGTCCTCCTGCATGTCTCGCTCCTCCTCCCTCTGGCTGGCGGTGGCCTTTCTTCCTCCCAGAGCTCTCTGTTCCTATAAGTCCTGCCTAGCTAATGGCCATTTGGCTCCTTTATTAAACCAATCACAATGACACATCCTCACACAGTGTAAAGGAATATCGCACAACAATTAAGGACTTATCCAGAGTCCCCAACTTCATCAGTGGCAGGAATGGAACCAGGACACAAAGTTCAGGAAGATCTTCAGGTCACGGCCTCGCTGCTCGCAGAGTCGCCACTGTGGTGATGATCTCGTGGCAGCCACCCAGCCTGGTCACCATCAGATAGCTGGGAATCAAGATTCCTAGGGACGGAAAGGCTCAGAGTAGAGAGGCTGGCTCCTGGCCAGAAGCAGCAGTCCCTTTCCTGGGAGACCACATCTTACTGCTACTGCTCACTTCACCCTGTGAGCACCCCAGGCAGTCCGCTCCCCTGCCTGGTGGGATTCTCCACATGCTCCCCTCCCAGGGGTCTCTTCCATTCCTGTCACATGTCCTAAGACGTAGCTTTCTTGAGGAAACGGATTCCCCCACCTTCAGCTGGCCTAAACTTTCTCTTCCACCCTCTGTGCTCACTAACTCCCCACCTCTGATGCAGTCTGGGATCTCCTGAAGCAGGCACTTGGCCCACTCCAGCTGATAGCCCTTCCACTCCCGGGCCCTCCTTGTATCTTAGAGTCCCCTCGTTGTCACGTGGGTTCCAGTGGCTCCTCAGCTTCTCAGTGCCAGCTGTCCCTCACTTACAACCTGGGGGCCCTGCTTCATGACTGCCTCTGCCCTTCTAACTCCTGCCCTGACCCTGGTAACTGTGGCTCACCTAGGGCCCACTCCCCAATCAATACCTGATCCTCCTCTTGTGCCAAGATCTCTGCCAACTCCCTCTCAGGCCCTGCTCCCCCAACAGTGTCCCTGGGTTTTCCATAACCTCCCTCTGGACACCAGCCTTCCCATCTCCTACTCCCTAGCAGGCTCTAGGAGACACCTGACTCCTCCTCACCCTCAGGCCCTTCCTGCTTTCAGAGCTCTCAACCGTGGATTTGGCAACCTCAATGAGCCCCACCTCTGGGCAGCTTGCTCCCCTCTCCCCAAACGTTGTCCCAGCATGTCTTACTCCCCTCTGCATGAGTAGGGCTCCATTTGGTTCCTACTCACGGGCGCCTAGCGAAAGCAGGCCATGAAGCCCTGCTGTAGCTGCCGCCCTCTCAGCCAGGCCGACCTTCTTCCACTTCCCAACAGAAGCATGGCTGCTTCTCCTCAGAGTTCCATGCGTCATCTGCCACTTCTGACATCTAAGGTCCCTTCCGTCTGCTAAAAAACTGTGCTTCTGGAGACTGGACAAATGGCTCAGTGGTCAAGAACACCTGAAGTTCTTCCAGAGGACTGGGGTTCAGCTCCTAGAACCCACATCGGGTGACTCATAACCACCTATAACTACAGTTCTAGGGGGTCCGATACCCTCTCCTGCCCTCTAGTGCCCTGCATGCATGTGGTATATGCACACACTCAAACACACATACACACACACACACACACACACACACACATAAAAATAATAATTCTTTTTAAAAAATAAAAAACAACTCTGCCCTAGAACCCATCCATGTCTCTGTACCCACCTGCCCCTCTCTGCCTGTTCACAGACACATTTACTCAGAGGGTGTTTTCTCTTGCGGTGGCCAGTCTTGCCTCTCTTTCCTTCTTGACTCACTGGAAGCTGGCTTTAAGCCTAGTGCTCCACCCAAGCCAGGCTGGACTAGATGCCCACAGACCTGCAGGCAGCATCTTCTGATTTGGCCTCTTGGCAGCACTGGCCAACACAACTGACCACACCCTGCATCCCGCAGAACCTCTCCCGGCTCCAGGACTTCCTCCTGGTTTTCCTTTTCTGGTTTTGGCTGTCTCTTTGCAGGCTTTCTTCTGGCTCTTCTTCCTCACCCTGACCTTTCCGTACTGGCAAACGCTTATTAATCACGAAACAGAAAATAGTAAGTTTCTGTGGATGCAGTCTCGCGGGCTCTCCCTCTCCCAGGTGATACATGTGAAGATAACTTGCTGTGCATGCATGAAGATCTGAGTTCAGACTCCAAGGATCCACATAGTCAGCTGTGCGGAGCAGTGTGTGCCTGCCTGATCCCAGCACTGGGGAGCAATGCCTGACCATTCAGTTCACCTAATCAGTGAGTTCCAGGTGCAGGGAGAGACGTTACCTCAACAGAGGAGGTGGGGAGCAATCAAGAAAGACACCCGATAGTGGCTGGCCTCTGGCTTTCACACAGGTGTACATACACATAGATCTCGCACAAAAGTTTTTTGTTATTCTATTATTCGGTTATTGTGTGTTGTCTGGGTGTGTGCATGCCACAGTGCATTCGTAGAGGTGAGAGGACAACTCTGGGGAGTCAGTTTTTTCCTCCCACTGTGGGGTCCAAGGATTAAACTTGGGTTGTTCAGTTAGAGAGCGCTTCCACCCACTAAACTATCCTACTGGCCCCAGTTTATTGGGGGGCCGGTACAGCTCTCACCATGTACTCTAGGATGTCCTGGAAATTGCTATGTAGACCAAGCTGGCCTCGAGCTCTCACAGAGATTACTTGTCTCTGCCTTCCCAGTGCTGGGTCAAAAGGCATAAAACACCACACCTCATTCCCCAATTTTTTAAAATAAAAAAACAAACAAAGGCAAACAAAACAAAGGCCCACCAAGGGAGCTGCTGGTGCCTCCTGGTAGGCTGACGCAAGGAGGCCACAGCATCACTCTGACTGTGCTCCACAAAGATACAGAATCTGAATCAAACAAAAGAATACGGGACAAGTCAAGATTCATCCACAAGATAACTAGCCTGGAGTCAAAAAAAGAAAAAAAAAAAAAGAAAGAAGAAAGAAAAGCCAGTATCACAGAAAATAAAGAAATCCTGAAGAACTGTGCTAGACTTATAAAAACTCCAAAAGTCACACAGCTCAATGCAACACAGAAGGCAGGGCTTGCTTTTGATGCAAAGGAAGTCGTTACGAAAATTGATCAAAGCAGAAATAAGTCTATGGTTTATTTCAAAGTGTAGCCATGTTTCTTTCCTGATTGAGCACTGCACTCCTAAAAGGGAAGGTCTTTGCTCCTAGAAAACACATACCGACTTGTTTAAAGGGAAAGTACTGAGTGTCATGGCGCCTGCTTTTAGTCCAACGCTCCGGAGGCAGAGACAGGCAGGTCTCTGTGATTTTGACCAGCCTGGTGTACACTATTGTGGAGACTAGACCAGCGCAGATTGATGTAGAGTTCCGGAATAATCAGGGCTGCATAGAGACCCTGTCTCAAAACAAATGAAAGTGTGGTAAAATATTAACACCTAGGAAATCTAGGTGAAGGGTGTGCGAGAAGTATTTGTAATAATTTTGCCACTTTTATGTACGTCTAAAACTGTGTGCAATAACAAATCAATAGAGAGTAAAATGTTATCAGGCTCCGTGAGTAAAGCACTTGCCATGTGAGTGCGAGGACCCAATTGGGATCTTCAGAGCCCACACAAACCCAGGCTCAGTAGCATGTGTTTGCAATCCTCGAGCTCCTATGAGATGGAGGGCCAAGGCAGGAGAGTTCAGGGAAGTTGAGGGCCAACTACCCCGACATACACAGCAGCAGACAATAAGAGGTTCTGCCAGAACAAGGGGGAAGGCAAGAACTGACACCAGAGGTGGTTCACACACACACACACCACACACACACCACACACACACACACACACACACACACGAGACAGAAAAAGAACTGGCACTAGAGAAGAGGACAAAGAGAAGAAAGGAGAGGAGGGGAGGGAAAGGAAGTGGAGGGGAGGGGAGAGCGAAGAGGAGGGGAGGGGAGGGGCAGGGAGAGGAAAGAGAAGAAAGAGAAGAAAAATTTAAAAATCAGCACCTGGTTCTTCCAAGCTCAGATCTGGACCTTTGTCTCACTTCATCTCACTCTTCATCTGCCCAAGGCAGTCCCCTCTCCTCTTGTGGCTCCTTCACTAACGGCACATCAACAATTGCCTAACATTTCTCTGTTCCTCCTATATTCTCAGCAGCATTAGGCTTATGCCTGCACCATGCCACTCGGGTTTCGCATGAGAGAAAAATCAACATGCCAAACTCACGCTGTAGTTGAGAATGACCTTGCACTTCTGGTCCTCCTGTCTCTACTTCCCAAGTGTAAGCCACATCTTCCCAACTGTGCCTGGTTTTATTCGGTATTTCTGATCAGACCTAGGACTTTGTATATGCTACACCAGCCTTCTATCAACTAAGCTACATCCCTAGCCTCCAAAAAACTTCTTGTGAGATGTCCCCCATCCCTAGTTCATCTCAGTGTGTCACCCTACAAATCCAACTTAGTGCCTGAGCCTTGGGCTTGTCCTGCACACCTTTCTTGTCTTTACTGCCCAACTAATCCCCAAGTCATTTTGGGGAATTTCTAAGTCCCGAAAAGTCAGGCTCCTATATATTAGTCACCCCCGTGTCACCAATGCCCCCCTCAAGCATAGTGCCTGGCACCTGGTCTACAAATAAGAAATCTTTCTTGAGAGAGGGGTGATGAATCTGTTGATAAAGTACCGGCCACAGACTCATGAGTGCCTGTGTTCAGATCCCCAGCACCTGGTAAAAGCCAGGGACGACTGCACACCTCTACAACTCCAGCGCCAAGGAGCAGCGGCTGAGAGCAGAGAGAGGCAGATAGGAGCACTTTGTCCAGTCAGTCTAATCAATGAGGTCCAGGTTCAGGGTCAAGATCCTGTGCCACAGCGGGGGGACTGGAGAATGGCTCCATGGTTAAACTCTTCCAAAGGACCTGCGTTCCGTTGACAGCACCATGCCATTGGCTCCCAAATGCCTGTAATTTCAGTTGCAGCAGATCTGACATCTTCTGGCCTCTACCAGCACCTCCACACAAGTGGCACACACACACACACACACACACACAAATAATAATAAGGAAGCTAACGTGAAGGACTGGCTAGACAGCTCGGCGGGTAAAGGCACTTGCCACCAAGACTGAAGATCTAAATATAAACCCTGGGACCCAAGTGGTAGGAGAGAAATAATGCCCGAGAGAAGCAGCCCTCTGACTTTCACTCATGGGCTGTCACACGTATTTGTGCACACACAGAAATTAAAAATAAGATGTGCAGCGATTAAGGAAGACACCTGACATTGAGCTCTGTTCTCAACATGCATGTGCACAAATGTATACACACACCACACAGTGTTCCCATATATACACTCACATAAACACATGAATATACAACATGTATACATCCTGGAAGAAAAAAAATCTG